CGCCGGAGGGGGCGGGAATCCGGCGGCCTCCCAACGGCCGCGCTGCCGCTGAGCTTCGAGAGCCGTCAAAGGAAGCGTCCGGCTCCTCGTCTGTGAGCAAATCTGTGAAGGCGGCAGGAAATCGGAGTTTGGTCCGAGCTCGGCAAAGGCGGTTAGGCGTGTGCTTTAATGTGTCGCTAGTTTGGAGCTTGCAGCTGTAGTGCCTTCTTCTGTTCGCCTCAGGAAGCGGTGTGAAATCTTCGATTTCCCCCTCTGGAAGGAGGTAGTCATAATTTTTTTTCCCCCCCTATGTTCCACTAATCTTGTTCATTGCTCTTAACAGCTTCAAGTTTTCCAGGTGTAAGATGGTAAGAAAAATAGGTATAATTATACATACCTTTATTATGTATACATGTATATATATATACATGCACACACACTTCCACTCATTGCATGTGTATGAACAGCTTTCAAAATCTTACGATGACAGAGTAGGAAAAATAAGCTGTTACAAAAGTGTGAATTTGCTTAAGAAGAGTTGTGGGGAAACGAGGGTGAGGCACCCACCCTCCCACCACTTCTCCTTGTTACACCACTTGATGGTGTCATGTACAAAATAGTTTTCAAAAATATATAAAATGAACAAGTTATTTGCAATCTGAACTTCAGGGAGTGTTTTTACGCCTCTCCTTGTTTTGTATTTTGCCTTGGAATAACGTCCTGCGTCTGCTGATTTGTGTCAAGAATCCCCCCGCTACCAGCGTCTCCCCTTTCAGCAGCACTAGGTGAATTTTTAAATCATTTCATTAACTAGAAAGTATCTCCCCGAAAGGCAGCTGTTTTCCAGGATGATGACTGAACTCCTGGTTTATGAGTTCATTAGGGGAAAAAAAAAACCCACAAAACTGTTCCCATTCTTGAAGGCCCTGAACTGTGTGAACCCACGGGATGCCCAACCTGAGCCACGTGGGATTCACGCAGGAGCGAAATACCCTGCAGCAGCTCCAGTTGTGAGATGTAAGCCAAGACAGGAGTTGCCTTGGACTTTACTCTGCCGGAAGTCATTTCTGTGTTTGCACCTCGCAGAAGGAGGCGTAGAGACTAAGGGCGTTTATTTGGCTCGTGCTAGCCCTTGGTTTACGGTTGAAGTACAAAACCCCTTGTCTTTGCCCCTGCTGCAGTGGACGGTGCAGCCTCCTCCAGGTGCGGGAGCAATGTTTTGGCTCCTTCAGCACCAGGGACAGGCCCCATGCGGAAGGCGCTCCCTGGCCCCTTGCAGGACGAGCCTTGCCTTGGGTCTTAAAAGGGAGATGCCAACAAGTCACCGTAAAACCTTTGGTAAGTATTTTCAGAGCTGCACAATGTATATAACTGTCAGTGTTTGTGGACATTCAAGAAACACGGGGATAGCGTTACTCGTCCTTGCGCAGCATCTCAGATGTCAACAATTACGATACCTTTTAAATGAGGGAATGCTAAAATGCTTTACATTTCATATACAGGAATAAATTCAACAATGACATCGTTGAAATACAAAGCAACCATTATAAATATGTTGCCAGCACAGCTCTAGTCTACTTAAAAGAACTGCAGCTGGGATTTGGTATTTCATATCTTATGGCATCTAAAGTCTCTTTATCCCCTGTGTGTAACGTGGCTAAATACTGACTGTGTGACGCACAGTAAATGGTGTCTTTTGGCCCAATACACAAGGTGCATGGACCAGGCCAGGAAATAATGATCTAAGGTATTTGGCCAAAGTTCATATTCACACAGACTGTGGCTTAACAGTAGCTGTAATGATAAGATTCTGCTGACAAGTCAGGTTACATCCCCTAAAAAGGAAACCTTTTGCATCTTGTGAAATGACTGAATACATTATTTTTCATTAAAGATATTGATAATTGCCACAAGGCAATGCAGACGGTACAAAAAGACTGTGAGACATAAGGCAGCATGCAAATGGAGCAGGCAAGTTGTAGCATGGATTATAAAAGTAAAACCTTTGCAACTTTTTTTAACTAAAATTGTGAAAATATGGAAAATAATGGGGTGGTTGATGGGGAAGGAAGAAAAGCATACCATAGCATTAGCTTTCTAGCATGTCCCAGTCACGTATTACACTTTAAATAACACTTCAAAAAGTTATTTCTGAGTTAAATAATGGCCTTGGAATAGTTCTCTGAAACAGCTTCTGGATCATCATCTAGTACAGAAAGCTGAAGACTGAGAATACCCTGGCCAAGCCATCCTGTGCTAGCAATCCTACTTGCTTTTTGTGTAGTAGCTTACTGGTAGATTCAGCTGTCCGTTTTTTTCTGTGACTGACTCTGTGTGATTTGACTTTGACCCATTAGTTTCACTCCATTTTTCTTGGGAAATTCAGATAATTCTGGCAAGGGTTAATTCTGGCTTTTCCACGAGTCCTTCTCCAAGTCTTTTGTCCCACTTTCTCATCACAATTTGATTTCTCCAACTGTTGGATTAGCTCTTCAGCCTCAGATCAGTCATGGTAGGATCCTTTTCCTTTTTAAAAAAATCTCTTTCACATTTTTCATAAATTTCTGCAATAGATTTCATAGTTAATTGCTGTTACCAGGCATTTTGATAAGCTGTGGACACAGTTCAGTTGCAGTAACTGTAAACTGGTGATGCCACCATCACTGATGGAAATTTGAAAGAATGACGGCTGCCCAACAGGACTGGCTGCCTCAGCTACTGAGAGTTTCATCACCCGTGGTGGTGTTATGAAAATTAGTAAATACATTGCACCACTAAGTGTGGACCTGTTTTCTCCCAGGATAATGCTTTCCACGGTCTGATCTCATGCCCTGCCCAGCTGACGGGGTTAAGGTTCTGAGTACGAAAATAAACTGGTGATATGTGGCTTTCTGAGAGCCTCTACTTTGACTACAGCAATACAGTCTTACTTTTTCTTTGGTTTGCACTGGGCGGTCCTTATTTCTCTACGGCGAGTTAAATGTGACTGTTCAGGCAGACATGCTCACTTGTAGAAGACTGCAAGTCTGAGGTGAATGTGCACTGTCATTTACCCAAACTATATCAGCTCCAGTGAATGAAACCTTTCTGTTTCCCTAGCTATTAATCCCTCAGCTTTAACAATAACCGTTACGATCAATTTTCAGAACAAAAGTGAGGGCCTCATTTTTTTAATGTATTTGTGTTTATTGCTTGGCACTTCCGACGTTCACTATCCTTTGCACAGGCTGTATATGGGGGCATGAGATTCAATGGTCTGTTCTTCCTTTCCTTAGTGATGAATACACAATTTGCCAAACAACTCACAGTTTTCACTTCCCTTCCGACAAAAGGCTGAGAGCAACTTCTCTAAAATGGGTATTGTATATACACCCAATTAACAGTCTGATTGCCATGGGATTACAGCTTAACTACTGGCATTGGCAAAGAAAGCAGCCAAAGAAATCTAATAGTTTAGATTTTCAGCATTATGCTACTTTGCAAAACAGCATATCCTAGAGAAACAAAGCAAGCACAGCTTGGATGAGAATCGTCTTGTTAAGAGTGGTTCTACCTTGCTAATTTTATCCTTATAAGACAGAGATTGATTAATGCCACTTGCGGTCTTGTCTTACCGGTTTTGAAAAGTTCGTAATGCTGCCCACATAGAAACAAACAAGCAAACAAAACAAACAAAACCTCAAAGTGTTACAGAGTTCAGTAAAAAGTTCTTAAATATAACTCTAGAGTTTTACACAGAAACAGAAAAAGAAGTCTGTCCATAGGGTAACCTCCTTGAGCTGTTCCTGTCTTTTCCCTGAGCTGCATTATTAGCATAGCATTCCTAGTGCAGGGTCAAAACAGAGTTATGGCAGTGGGTAATTCAAGATGGACTGTCAGCAGGATGAGCCCCAGCAGCACAGTTTGACTCATAATCCCTGCTGCTTTCAAGCTTGGGGCCAGTCCAGCCTCAGAATGTCAGTGTTGTCTACAAAATGTCCAGAAGTCTTGTGCTCCGCTTTTAGACAGGAGGAGAACAGCAATTCTCTGTAAGTCTGTTTTATGTTTATTAGTCTATTTTCATTCGGCTTGCTGCAATGAAATTGGGCTTCTCAATTCTAGCTCACCGTTCAACTGTAAACAATCAGTTGTAAATACACGTTATCTATATGAAGTGAAAGGTTTTGTGAATCTCTGTCCACCTGTTTCACTTGATATCTCTCTATATCTCTCATATCACCATTCAAGGCTGCGTAATCTGTCATTGCCTCTTCTTTAAAGCAGGTGCTGCTAATCCTCTGCGTATGGAAAAAAGGTCACAATTTGGAACCTTTAAAAAATTCAGTAATTGTAATTTTCATGCAGCTACATCCTAGCTTTAAAGAACTTCATGCAAAACGTTACTAATTTAGCCTTACAGCGCTCCAAGAGTAAATGAATGATAAA